TGGAGGAAGATGGGCATGGATGTTAGCCCAGGGCCAGTCTTCCTCAGCAAAAAGAGGAGGATTGGCAGATGTTAGCTCAGGGCCGATCTTCCTCAGACACATACACAAAAAACACCCTTCCAGCGGTCTGCTCTCCATTCCTCCCTTGGACAGACCCTTGTCTCTTCTGCTGTCCACTGTGGGGGTAGGCAGGCTGCCCTCACCAAAGGTCTTCACAGTCCCCAACTCTAGGCTCTGCTAGAACAACCCGCCTTTTCCCAAGGTCCCAGACTCTTCATTTTCTTCTTCCTCGGAATGAATTCTCCTCACTCCACTCCCCTCTGGCCCAGGTTCCACGTATTTCCGTCCTGCCCCATCACTCTAGTTCTAGCTCCATCTCCCTTCTGGGTCCTCCATTCCCATCCTTGGACACAGGACTGTGGCTGGGAATGGAACAGAGTTGGGCTGAGAACAACCCAGAAGGCATGAGGGGAGTGCTGCTGTGCCTGGTGCCTTTCTCCACCTTCCTCACCCACTGCCTCTCGCAGCCCCCCATCCTACCCCCCCACCACAGAAGGAGCCCAGGGTGGGGCAGGGGACGCCTGAGGTGATGAGGTGCCAAAAGGAGCCTGTCAGCACTTTTCAGTGCCCAAAATAACAAAGTGAAAGGAAACATGCAGGGGTGCAAAGGGCAGGCGGAGCGAGGGGCTGTGCCCCCACACCTGGGAGGGGTGGTGGGGGGAGTGAAAAGGCAGGAAAGAGAGAGCAGAAGAGGATGTTAGAAACAAGCCGCGGAGCCTGGGTTGGGCTGTGGTGAGTATCTAGGTCACCAGGGAGCCGGCAGGCCTGACCACAGGGAGACCTATGTTCTCAGCTCTCCTCTTCCTCCGACCCTCCTAGACAGGCGAGGTGACCCCAATACAGCGTGACACCCCCTACTCGACCGCCCCCACCCCCAATATCAGGAGGCCAGAATCCTTAGTCCAGACTCATTGCTTTAATTCTGCCACAATTAGAAGCTGGTTTTGAGCTAGGAGAGTTTGCTCAGGAGACTGAAATGGCTGGGCTGGATAGAACCCTGAAGCCAATAAGAGTGAGAGGTGGGAGGGGTCTGAACAAAAGACCCCTGAAGGGAGGTTCTCAGGCAAGAGTGGAGGGCTCTGCTTGGAGCCAGCTATGCAGGGAGCAGCAAGTTAATCCTGTAATGACCCAAATGCCTTTTGACCCTGCCCTGTACCTTGTCCTCCTGCCTCAAAAACTCCTGATCCCTGGACCACGTTCAGCTGTCAAGTTCGGCCGCATGTCCAAGAAGCAAAGGGACAGCCTGCATGCTGAGGTGCAGAAGCAACTGCAGCAGCAGCAGCAGCAGCAACGGGAACAAGCAGCCAAGACCCCTCCTGTAGGGGGTCAAGGAGCAGACCCCCTACCCTGCACCTTGGGGCTCCCAGATGGGCAGTTGCCCCTGGGCTCCTCACCTGACCTGCCTGAGGCCTCTGCTTGTCCCCCTGGCCTCCTGAGACCTCCAGGCTCTGGGCCTTCCTACTCCAACAGCTTGGCCAAGGCCGGGCTCAACGGGGCCTCATACCACCTCGAATACAGCCCTGAGCGGGGCAAGGCTGAGGGCAGAGAGAGCTTCTATAGCACGGGCAGCCAGCTGACCCCCAACAGATGTGGACTTCATTTTGAGGAACCCAGACATCCTGGGCTTGGGGAACCCGGACAGGGCCCGGACAGCTACTGCAGCCCCAGTTTCCGCAACACCCCAGAGGCGCCTTATGCCTCCCTGACGGAGATTGGTGAGCAGCTGGGGAGGCGGAGGGAGTGGGGAAGATGAGGGGCTTCCAAGAGATGGGTCCTAGTCAGCACCCCATGTAAACCAAATGAGCCCAAAGGAGTTGAGGGGTCCTGGACAAGGGGGAGGGGAGAGGCAGAGCAGGAGCAGGCCAGGTAGAGGAGTGCCCTTTGTATGGGTAGGTTAGGAGCTGGCTGAGATCGAGCCGGTGCCTTCCTCCTCTGGCCCCAGAGCACTTGGTGCAGAACGTGTGTAAGTCCTACCGAGAGACGTGTCAGCTGCGGCTGGAGGACCTGCTACGGCAGCGCTCCAACATCTTCTCACGGGAAGAGGTGGCCGGCTACCAGAGGAAGGTGAGGCCAGGAGACCACATGGGGAAGGGAGGACATCCCACCACCACTGGGAGAGTCCAGAGATGGCCACCTGCGCACGCAAGTGGGCTGGGTCGAGGCAGGATATCACAGATAGACACAAGTGTGTGAACCCTCTTTCAAGTATGGGGTGTGTGTGTCTACACCCTAGTAGATGGATGAGAGCTTTTCCTTAGCCCCCGTTAACATTTTACTCGGACCTCATCCTACCTCCTCCACCACCCAGGCCTTGGTGTACTCTGCGTCCTTCTCCTCTATTGACGATAACAACAGTCAGAATCCTGATTACCGTTTGTTAAACACCCCTTCTCTGCCAGGCACTGTGCTAAATGCTTTACATAAATTTTCCTCGACCCTTACAACAACCAACCTATGAGGCTGGCATTTATTTCCACTTTTAATGGACCTGGAAACTGAGCTCAGAGGATGAACAGACTTACTCCAGTCACAGAGCAGTGGAGCCAAAGGCAAACGCAGATCCATCAGACTCCAAAGCTTCTCTTCTTTCACTCTGACAACTCCACCTGCTGTAAAAACACTCATTTGGCACTGAACTTTTGCTTCTCTAGGTTATTCAGACCTTTGGGTATGTCCTTTTGGGAAGAGGGGGTCAGTATGTCCTTTTCACCTCAACAAGATGCAGAATTTTGAGGGCAAAGCTGTATCTCAGACGTTTTTCCTTCCCCCACAACACCTAATTCAGTGCCAGTGGTTGGTGGGTGCTCAGTAAGTGCAACCAAATGACAGGAATTGACCCCAAGTTTTGTGCTAAGAATAGGCAAAAAACACTAGGCTGAAAAAACAATAGGCTAAATAGTGTTGAGAACATGGGCATTCAGAACCTACCCCCTGCAGTTTATCAGTCTGGGCTGCCAGGGACTTGGGCGGGTCACAGGTCATAAAGAGGGCTACAGTGGGACCCTCCTCCTTCCCTGCAGTCAATGTGGGAGATGTGGGAACGCTGCGCCCACCGCCTCACTGAGGCCATTCAGTACGTGGTGGAGTTCGCTAAGAGGCTCTCAGGCTTTATGGAGCTCTGCCAGAATGACCAGATCGTGCTACTCAAAGCAGGTGCCCAGGGAGGGTGGGCAGGCCTGGGGCGAGGGGGGACAGAGCGTGGAATAGGGCGGGCTGAGTGGAGGGAGGTGGCTTAAGGAAACTGAGGGGACAGAGGCGGATTCCCGGCTTTGCTTGACGCTGTGCCTGCACATTTTCTCCCCACTCTCCAGGAGCAATGGAAGTGGTGCTGGTCAGGATGTGCCGGGCCTACAATGCTGACAACCACACGGTCTTTTTTGAAGGCAAATACGGTGGCATGGAGCTGTTCCGAGCCTTGGGTGAGGGGCAGGGGGAAATGAAAGACAGTTGGATGCCAACCCCATCTAAAGCTTCGAGACCCAGGGCACCCGCTTTTCAAGGCAGATTGCCCCCTCTGCTCCAAACACCAAGAGGGTGGGTGTCCTTGGGCACCATGGCCTCACCCACCTTGCTCATTCTTCTATTTCCACTTCATCAGGCTGCAGTGAGCTCATCAGCTCCATCTTTGATTTCTCCCGCTCCCTGAGTGCCTTACGCTTTTCCGAGGATGAGATTGCCCTCTACACAGCCCTTGTCCTCATTAATGCCAGTAAGTGTCGCTGGGCTTGGGTAGAGGACATTCAGGTGGGGGCACGACAGATATTGAAGAGTCTCGACCTTTGGATGTGGTTAAATCTTGGAAATTGTTATAAAGAGCAGAATGAAACCTGCCCAATATTGCTTAAAATAAAATGAGTGAAAATGAAGATTCAGAGGAGCCTGAGAGAGGGAAAAGAGCAGCACAGATGGGGTTGAAGAAGTGGGGAGATGTGAGACTGAGAGGAAGTGAGTCACTTCCCCGGACAGAAATTAGTCTGCTGTGGGTCCAGGTCAGTGATTCCATTGTGGCTACACATCGGAATCACCTGGGGAGCTTTAGAAACGATTGCTGCCTGGGTCCCACTCCCAGAGACTCCGAGGTCATTGAGCAGCGAGAGCACCAGAATTTTTAACAGCCTCCTGCAGGTGACTGTAATGTGCCACGAAGCTTGAGAATCGCTGCTGTGTGTGCACTAATTTTAAGACTGTATGCCATCATGGCATGACTCTGGACGTCTACTCCACTAGAATGGAGTAGGCTGGGCTGAGCCAGCTGAATGCTAAGTATTTGGAGAACCGGGGGAAGTGGATCGAGCTGCTAATCTGAGTTTGCAAGTCAAGATTATCAGTCTTCTGGCTCTGCCAATGAGTACAGAACTAAACATCCCCCCTTGAACTGGAAATAAAGACTTAAAAGATGACTTCTCGCTGTTTTCTGGAGCCAGGGCAAAAGGCGGTTTGTCTGTTGAAGTTAGCTACAGACTACCACAGAGGCCTTGATGCTGGCCCAGGTGGCTTCTAGAAGGCCATCCCCTGGGGCCGGGCTGGTGGCGCAGAGGTTAAGTGAGCGCGCTCCGCTTCGGCAGCCTGGGGTTCGCAGGTTCAGATCCCGGGCGCACACCAAGGCACCGCTTGCCAAGCCATGCTGTGGCAGGCATCTCATATAAAGTAAAGGAAAATGGGCACAAATGTTAGCCCAGGGCCAATCTTCCTCAGCAAAAAAAGAGGAGGATTGGCATCGGATGTTAGCTCAGGGCTAGTCTTCCTCACAAACAAAAAAAAAGAAGGCCATCTCCTATTTGGGGCCATCTTTGGCCAGGGGGTGCGGGGCTCTTTTCCAATCTTTTCTTTTTTTGTGCGCCATGGCAGAATCCTAGCACCTAGCGTTAAATGGGCTATGTGAAATATCAGGGTACAAGGGAGAAGGCAGCTTGGAAGTTTTCATCTCCTTCATCCCTCCCTGGTTTTCCTTGTAGACAGCTAGCCAAGCCCAAAGCCCCAAAGCTTACCATTATCAAACCAACACACACACATACACACACACACACACACACACACACACACGCTCAGCTGAGAAGGCCTCTATCCAACACAGATGTCCCAAATGATACACATTTTAGGTGGAAGTTAATGTTCATGTTCTTTCTTGTTCTCACTATGGTCCCATCCCCTCCTTCAGACCGGCCAGGGCTCCAAGAGAAAAGAAAGGTAGAACAGCTGCAGTACAATCTGGAGCTGGCCTTTCATCACCATCTCTGCAAGACTCATCGCCAAGGCATCCTGGCAAAGGTAGGAGCAGTCCCTGGGGTAGAAAAGGTCAGGCCCAGTTCCAGATCTGTGACATCAGGGCTTGTGAGGGCCAAGGTCTGAGGGTCCAGAGGAGGAAGAGCTTCAGTGCCCTGTTGTGTTCGAAAGCTTGCTAAAGCAGTGGGAACTAGAGGGATGAGCAGTCACTTCCATGTGCGTGAAGATGGAAAGTGCGAGAGCCCGGAATTGGGAGGAACCTCCAGGGAACAATTCAGTTTAATACAGCCAACACTTACCCAGCACCTGCTTGTACAATGCACTGTGGAATGGAAAGATACAGAAATGCGTCCTTGCCCTCACCAAGAGTTTGTAATCTGGTATGAAGAAGAGACTCGTGTACCAGTAACTCTAATGTACAGTAGAATGTGATATGTGATGTAACAATAATGCAATTAACAAAGTGCTGTCGCAGATAGGCTCTGTCATCCTCAGGGTAACTCAGTCAATAGGACGAGTATTAAAACCTCCCTGTAGCAATAAGGAGACTTCACTGACTTGTCCAAGTTTACATGATTGGTAAGTGATAAATGCAAGACTTAATCCCAGTGCTCTTTCCACTGTATCCCTGTGGCCCTGATAGATTACTTTAATAAGAGATATTGGGGAAACATGATGAGAGCGTAGAACAGGGATTAAAAATAATTTGGGAGTGAAAGGACTGGATCATAAACGCTTCCTAGAGAAGTGGCATTTAAACTAGGCCATGAAATATGTAAGATTTTAACAGACATTCATGGCGGTGGGGCAGGCATTCCAGGTTTAGGGAACAATATGAGCAGAAATAAGGAGACAAAATACTACATATATGGAGAATAGCTCATGCTATGTTTTGACTAACACGTGAGATCAGGAGCTGGGATAGATTGATGGGAGCAGGGGAGTGGCAGAAGATAAGCTTGAAAATTAGGTCAGGTAGCAAATCAGAGAGGACTTTCAATGCCATGTTAAAGAGTTAAGGCTTTATTTTTAGGCAATGGAGAGCCCCAAAGGCTAGAGGAATGATCTCATCAGAGCTCTTTTTTAGGCAATTTAATTTGGAACCAGTGTAAAGGACCCATTTATGTAATCATTCAAGCAACAGGCTCTTGCTATGTGCCAGGCACAGTGCTAGGCACTGAGGATACAGAAATGTCTTAAACAAGAGTCTCTGCCCTAAAGAACTTCAAGTCTAGTGGGATAGATTAAAAGGAGAAACTGGAACCTGGGAGAGCAGTTGGAAAGCAATCTGGTTGGATCCACCTTCAGAATACCTCACCTCCCCACTGTCACCCCCCTAGCTATCAGTTCTCACTTGGACTATTAGAGAGGCCTCCTAATTGGACCCCTGCTCCACCCTTGTCTGTCCTACAGCAGCCACACAGTGCTGTTCTCAGTCCTCCCATAGCTGCCCATCACGCTGAGAATCAAATCTAGAGTCTGTGTCCTGCCTGACTGGCCTTGTGATATGACCCTTGACTTCTTTTCCCACCTCATCTCCTTCTACATCTCCTTCCACTCCTCTCAATCACCCATTCCAACAACACTAGCCTCCTTGCTGTTCCTTGAAGGCATCATACACAGTTGCATCTCAGGGCCTTTGTACCAGCTATTCCAGCTGCCTGGAAGGTTCTTCCCCTAGTTTTCCAAATGGCTTGCTCCATCCCTTCATTCTGGAGAGGTTTTCCCTGACCACTCCCTACAAAAACCCTCTACCCCTCACCCTGCTTTATTGTTTTTTAAAGAAATTCTCTGACATATTGTATATTTGTTTATTTTCTGGCTCCCTCACTAGAATATACATTCAATAAAGGTGGACACTTTATTTCATTTAATTCACTGATGTATCACCACAGCCCATCACAGTGCCTAGCTGAGTAGGTTCTCAACAAATATTTGTTGAATGAATGAATGAGTGAAGCTATTGTAATAGCCCAGACAAACCCCAAGTAAACCAGTAGAGGTGACGAGAGGATGACTTCAAGAGATATCAAGGGATCCCATGCCGCCTGCTCTTCCCTGACTACCCCTTTCCTAGGAAACTAAGCTGGGGAGAAGGGGGGTGGTGGCTGATGAGAGGTATTTTAAGCCTCTCTGGGTTATAAAGGAAACTGCAGAATATAAATGGTTTTCTCAGCCTTTCTCCAGTGAGGTCTCCCTGCCTCTGTCTCCTCAGGGGTCTCTGGGCCTTTTTCATTTCCCCCCGGCTGAGTGCTGGCAGTGTTGGGTACCTGCTTGGAAACTGTTCAGTTCAAACAGGCAGTTATTGAGTATTTGCCCTGTGCCAAGCACTATGATAGGTATAGAGGAGAGAGAGAGAGACCCTACTCAAGGAGCTTAAACCTAGGGTGGGAAGGCAGACAAATTGGATCATTTTCCTAAAATGGGGTTTGCTACCCAGAGGGAAGCCCAAAGGAAGGGGCGTTAATACAGGGAGGTAGTTAGGGAAATATTCCCAGAGGGAATGATACCTGAAGGTGAGTAAGAATTAGCTAAGCAAAGAATTGGAAAGGCATTCCAGGTGAGAGAACAGCATCAACAAAGGCAAAGAGGCATGTGACAGTATATAACACAGAGAGTCACAGAATTTCACTATTAAAAGATCATAAAGTGTGAGTTAGAGAGTCTTTAACAGGGTTCATTTTAGGAGTAGCAGGAACAGGATTTGGGAGTTTCACTTAGAAAACACGCATGTGTCTTGCATCAGCTCTCACTTGCCTCTAGTTTCCTGAACAAGTATCCACCCCTGCCAATGGGGTCTGTCTGTCCCACAAGTGCCCACAAAGCAAGGAGCATTACCTAGCCCAGGAAGGATGAGAGGACCTCTTTGCTCTGGGGAGAGAGGTGAAGCACTTACCTTCCTTCCCCATTAACCCATCTCCAGCTGCCACCCAAGGGGAAGCTTCGGAGTCTGTGCAGCCAGCATGTGGAAAAGCTGCAAACTTTCCAGCATCTCCACCCGATCGTGGTCCAAGCTGCTTTCCCCCCACTCTACAAGGAACTCTTCAGCACTGAAATGGAGTCACCTGAGGGGCTGTCCTAGTGACCTGGAGGAGGGACTCCTTTCCCTTCCCTGGAGCCCGCTGGCCTACCTCCCTGGACCCCTCCCACCCTCAGCCTTTTCCTTTCCTATGACCTCTGGAGGGTGGTCCCTGCCTGTTCTTCAGGGATGAGCAAATGCTGAGACTGGTTGTCTGCCCACAGGCCTGCTGGCAGTGGGCCAAGAGCCACAGGGTGGGGATGGAGGAACGCCATCTCCAGCCTCAGCTGTGTTCTGTCTCCTTTCCCACGCCCTGTCACCTCCAGCTTCTGGGAGGTCTGGGATGGGATATAAGGACCTCTAGGAGGACCAAGGTGTCCTCAGGACAGCAGGGGGATCCAGGACACCCAGGATGAACAGAACTCAACTCTGGGCTCAGAAGCTAAGAACAGGCCTTTGAAATACCTCATTGCGTTCTCCTGTGGGCATCAGCGGGGGGGAGATGCATCAAGCTCCGAGACTGGTGCTGAAGCCCAGGAGGACCTGTGTGTGACATGAATCTGGACCTCTATTTTTTCTGCCTTCCCCCTTCCTCCTAGCTCAGCAAGGAAGTGGTTGGGCACCCCGCCCTTTTCACAAGGTCTAAAAAATACTGGATATGTGGAGGGTAGGGATGGGATGGGGGTAAAGGGCTGGGGATAATTTTTTATGGGATTTGGGGATAGGGATAGGGTACAATGAAGGCCAAGAGCATCAAAGACAGATAGAGAGAACTCAAACCTCTTATGTGCACTTTAAAAATAGACTTTAGGGGTTAGCACAAATCTGATCAGAGACACATATCCATATACAGGTGAAACACAGACTCACAGACTCAACCTGCAGTTATGCAGGTCTACAGTCACATTTAATCTGACACGATCTCTGTCTTCCCTGAGGTCACAGCTCAGAGGAATTTAGTGGCCTCAGGGAAGAGTCCCAATCCTGAGGGCCCCAGGACGTTTCCATGGTGCCCCAGTCCACCAGTCTTAGGTCTGGGGTGGGCCAAACTCTCTCCCAGCCCCAGCTGTCTTCTATCACAAGAAACCCGGAGAGAAACAGGGGTGGCTGGATACTGGTCAATCAGAAGGCCAGGGACAGACCCTCGGAGGGTTGTCTTGGCCTTGCCCTCCAGCCCTGCTCTCGTCATGGAAAAGGGAAGCAGCCGCAAAGCCACCACTCTGTAGCTGGGCACCACCAACTCCAGCAGGGAGACGGAGACCAGACAAGAGGGCAGAGACTTGTTTTTCAGCCGTGATCTTGCCGCAGCACTTCTCTTGGCTTTATAAATAGCTGTGAGCCCCCCTCTGCGGGATAAACAGCAGGTTGGGGGGGTGGGGTTCATCTCAGGGGAAGGGTTTAGTTGGGTAAACATAAACCCCAGCTTTTGCCATTCTTTATAAAATGATTTTAAAGGCAAGAGGTGTGTGTGTCGGCCTGGGGGGAGCCTTAAATACGGTTACCTCCAGTCGCATTCTTGTGTGGGAACCCAGGTTTCCAGCCCAGCAATCCATGGGCATTGTAAGGATTCTAGCCCCCTAAGCAGTCCACCAGGGAGGCTTGGGAGTGGCTCCTCAGGAACCCTCACTGGAAGAGTCTCAAACCGAGCTCCTCAGCAGATGTTCTGGACTGAGAACTCTCCCCACAAATGATACCCACAGGGGACATTTAGATTGAGAGGTTGCACAGATCTGCCCCACATCTAGGAGACTGAAAGACAGCCCTAAGTAAGGTGCTTGGCTCCGGAGCTCCCCAGAGAGAATCAAGGTGTCGAGAGACCCTTTTGATCTGCCCAGCTGCTTCTACCGCCTGACCCCTTGGAGCTCCAGAGCCTCCCTCTGTGCTCCCTCCCCTTCACTTCCCTCCTGTAGTGGTGCTTGCTGCAGCCCTCCCTGGTTGCTTTATTTATTTATTTTGCACCAACAGGGTTGCTGCAGACTCATTCTTGCCTGGTTTAAAAAGCGAGAGAGGAAAAAAAAAAGAAGAAATGCTTTCTGGCTCTTTTCTCTACCTCGGTCTTGCCAGCAGCGGCTGCAGCAGCAACAGCAGCAGCGGCGGGCAGCCGGGCAGGCGGGCAGCCGGGCAATAGGGAGTGAGGCACACGGGGGAGGTGCGGGGGCTGAGGTGCAGCTCTAATGGGACAGGCCCCCAGCCCTGGACAGATGCAGTGCCCAACTTGATGCCACCCTCCAGCTTCTCCGGTAAGTGCCCCCACCTCCTGTCCCGAAGCTGCAGCTGTGCTTCTCCATACCATTCTCAGAGACAAGGCCAGACCAGTGTGCCCATCAAGGCTAGAGGGTTTGTGCCCACCCCTGCCCCCCAGCCAACCACTGATCCTGGCCCCACAGGACTTTGATGGGAAGACTAAGATGCCCCAGGTGCTCCTGGGGGGAAGGACTCCAAGGAGACCTCCCTCCAGCTCCCCAGTGCTCCCTCTTCCTCTGGGAAGGGTTTTTCTGCAACCAGTGTGGATATTCCAGAAATCTTTCCTCCAAGAGCCCCCTCCCCACGCAGGTCCCCACACCTCAATCGGGGTATTGCTTTAAAGAGGATCCCAGGTTCAAATGTGTTTTTCTGGACTGCCACAGAGAGACAAGAAGAAGAAAGCACCCTATTCCTTGCGGGGAGGATGCCCCAGACCCCAGCCCATTTAGGGACAGAAAGAATTGGTTCTGACACCTATCTTTTCTGGCAAAGTGGGTGGAAGCCAGTCTTGTAGCCATGGAGATTGGCAAGGGAAGTTTGTGATTAAATTAGCCACCTTATAAATAAAGAAAAAGGGTTGGCCCCAGATCCCCCAGCCCCTAGCCCAGCAGGCTTTGGGGACCAAGAGGAAACTCACAGGAGTGGGAAGGAGGGAAGCTGGGTTACATGCTTCATTGCACTTTGCTGAATGCAGAGCAAGAAGGATGAGCAAGAACTGCAGCAGTAGTGATAAAGAGCTAGCTGTCAGGTGGACTTCCCAGAACAGGCACAGGGAGAATGAGGGAGGCTGGGACTTTTCTCTCCCTGGAGAAGTCAGCATGCTGTAGAGACCTGTTAGGCTGGGACAGGGACAAAAGGAGTCTGGCCAGCAGGCTTTGCCTGCCGCATGCCATTCTTTCTCGTGCCCAAGCCTCAGAACAGTGTCCTACATTCCTCTGCTCTTTGGCCTCTTTCTTCAGTTTCCCAACTACTACAGTCCTCTGAAGTAGCCATAGGATAGCTGCCAGAACGATCCTTCTAGAGGAGGGTGTAGAGTGGGAAGGGAAGGGGAAGAAATCACAACTTCTCTTAACTGCCTCTCCTTAGTTCCACGTGGGAGAAAATGGGCCATGTAGTAGAAAGCTGACCCTGTAGGACTCAGAAAGCCTGGAACCTGAAAGCCCAAAGGTCATCAGGATCTGCAGCTAGAAAGAAACCCAAGCATCCCGCCTCCCAGGGAGCATCAGTTGGCTCTTGTCCTATCTCTTTAGCCATCCCTTGCCAATTCCAATTCCCCTCCCTTGGGGTCTCTATTGGCATTGAACAGGGTGAGTCGAGGAGTCTCACCACCTATGGGACCCCTTCTCCCCTGTGACACCAGTCGGTCTCCAGTGGTCATCATAGTCACTATCTTCCTGATTTTGCCCAGGCCCCTGGCACCCAGAAACCCACTTTAAGTCGACAGGCTGTGCACACAGCCTGTGCCCAGAGATCTGCTGTGCCAGCCAAGGGCTCCCTTGCTCCCACCCACAGTGTCTGGTCAGGTGCTGTCTCTCCTCACTTGTCTGTGCCTCCCTGGCTCACAATCTGTGTCCTGTGTATTGTTCAGGCAGCTGAGGCCAAAGGGGAGAAGAGATCTCCCTCAGACTCACACACTGGACTTGAATCAAGACACCATTAAGGAGGGATATAAGAGATGCCTAAGTTTGAGGACCAAGCAACAAAACTCAAAACTGAGGCATCTCTTGTGTCCCTCACACACCCCAATGTCATCTGTAGGGGAGGAGGTGTTGCCCTTGGGGTTCTTGTGAGGGATTCAAGTGCCCCCTGCATCCTGTGCCATGGCTAATGTGCAGCTTGGCTGTCGTCCACACAGGCGTTCTGGGGAGATTGGATCTTGCTAGTCCAGGGCCTCAGGCCCTGGGCCAGGCTGGAGGAGGGCAGAGAGGCAGTAAGTGGAGTCTGAGGGGCAGAGCTGAGGCCGGCATGTTTCCCAGCTTTGGATGACTTAGTCAAGGTGAGGCCTCTCTCCAGTCAGGATCTAAGGATGTGATTCCCCTGAGCCTTAGACAAAGCTATGGGTAGATAATATGGGAGAAGAAGGGTGGGCAGAGAGGGACAGAGCAGACCTTGGGGAGACCAGATAGGAGGGAGAAGGGACCTAAGGTATTCCTGGATCTCACAGATATAGGAAAAAAAAAGTTATTTCCCTGCTGCTTCCTGCCCCATTCCGATAAAACTTTCCTCACAAGAATCAGGCTTGACTAGGGTTCCATTTGGCGTGTTACCCAGGGCTGGGAGGGGGAGGAAAGTAGAGATTCCCCAAAGAGGAGCCCTGGGGGGCTCCAGGAAGGTGTGCACCAGAATTCCTCCTGGTTCTGCACCCTACTTGCTGGCAATGCTGAGATGGATAGCTCGATCTCTCTCTCCTTAAGGAGGCCCAGGGAAGTCCAGGGTCACCCCATCTGAAGGCACTGTCCCGAAAGGGCCATGTCATCATCTATTCCAGGAATGAAGAGGGGATGGCTGCGGCCACAGCTCCAAAGCAAGCCTGGCCCCCGTGGCCCCCCCTCCTTTTCCTGCTCCTCCTGCCTGGAGGGAGCAGTGGTGGCTGCCCTGCTGTGTGCGACTGCACCTCTCAGCCCCGGGCAGTGCTCTGCGCACACCGGCGACTGGAGGCTGTACCTGGGGGACTCCCGCTAGATACTGAACTCCTGGACCTGAGTGGGAATCGCCTGTGGGGGCTTCAGCGGGGAATGCTCTCCCGCCTGGGTCTGCTCCAGGAACTGGATCTCAGCTACAACCAGCTGTCCATCCTTGAGCCTGGGGCCTTCCATGGCCTACGAAACCTACTCACCCTGAGGCTGCAGGGCAATCGGCTGCGAATCATGGGGCCAGGGGTCTTCTCGGGCCTGTCTGCCCTGCTGCTGCTGGACCTCCGCCTCAACCAGATTGTCCTCTTCCTCGATGGAGCTTTTGGGGAGCTGGGCAGCCTGCAGCAGCTGGAAACTGGGGACAACCACCTGGTGTTTGTGGCTCCAGGAGCCTTTGCGGGGCTGGCCAAGCTGAGCACCCTCACTCTGGAGCGCTGCAACCTCAGCACGGTGCCTGGCCCGGCCCTGGCCCGTCTCCCAGCACTGGTCGCCCTAAGACTTCGAGAACTGGATATTGGGAGGCTGCCGGCAGGGGCGCTACAGGGGCTGGGGCAGCTAAAGGAGCTGGAGATCCACCACTGGCCGTCTCTGGAGTCCCTGGAGCCTGGGAGCCTGGTTGGGCTCAACCTCAGCAGCCTGGCCATCACCCGCTGCAATCTGAGCTCAGTGCCCTTTCAAGCACTGCACCACCTGAGCTTCCTCAGGGTCCTGGATCTATCTCAGAACCCCATTTCATCCATCCCAGCCCGAAGGCTCAGTCCCCTGGTGAGGCTCCAGGAGCTACGACTGTCGGGGGCGTGCCTCACCTCCATCGCTGCCCACGCCTTCCATGGCTTGACTGCCTTCCACCTCCTGGACGTGGCGGATAACGCCCTTCAGACACTAGAGGAAACAGCCTTCCCTTCTCCAGACAAACTGGTCACCCTGAGGCTGTCTGGCAACCCCCTGACCTGTGACTGCCGCCTCCTCTGGCTGCTCCGGCTCCGCCGCCGCCTAGACTTTGGCACGTCCCCCCCTGCCTGTGCTGGCCCACAGCATGTCCAGGGGAAGAGCCTGAGGGACTTTGCAGACATCTTACCTCCAGGGCACTTCACTTGCCAACCAGCCCTGATCCGAAAGTCAGGGCCACGCTGGGTTGTTGCAGAGGAGGGGGGGCATGCTGTTTTCTCTTGCTCTGGAGATGGAGACCCAGCCCCCACTGTCTCCTGGAGGAGGCCTCAGGGGACTTGGCTGGGAAGGGCTGGGAGAGTAAGGGTCCTAGAGGATGGGACGCTGGAGATCCACACGGTACAGCTACAGGATAGAGGGGCCTATGTCTGCGTGGTCAGCAATGTGGCTGGGAATGACTCCCTGAGGACCTGGCTGGAAGTGATCCAAGTTGAACCACCAAATGGCACTCTCTCTGACCCCAACGGCACCATGCCAGGGGTCCCAGGGCCTTTCTTCCTGGATAGCAGAGGCATAGCTATGGTGCTAGCAGTCGGCTTCCTCCCTTTCCTCACCTCAGTGACACTCTGCTTTGGCCTCATTGCCCTCTGGAGTAAGGGCAAAGGCCGGGTCAAACATCACATGACCTTTGACTTTGTGGCACCTCGGCCCTCTGGGGATAAGAACTCTGGGGGTAACCGGGTCACTGCCAAACTCTTCTGACCTTTCCTTCCACACTGTGGACCCAACCAAGCGAGCTTCAGATACAAAAGGGGAGGAGAACCAAGACCACTTGGACCAGAACCTAGTCTCAAGTTGCACAGATCTCTCACACCTCCTGCCTGCATCGTGCCAGCAGCTAATGATGCCTCCTGAGAGAGTCTGCCTCCTCGTGCTTTTGCAGTTTGAGGATAAGCATTGTCATCTCTTCCCTGAGAGTCCAGGAAGCTGAAGACGTGGACCCTGTAGTCAACCCAGCCCTCCTCCCACCACACACAAACCAGGAAACGTAACCAAGGCTCTAGTCTGCCAGTCTAGCCACCAGGCTTTCTTCACACACACTTATACCCTCTAATAACCAATACCAGCTGCCAACCACAGCTATAAGATTATTTCAGAGGTGGGGCTGGGAAGTGCCACTTGCTTCTTGGAGTCTCTGCTCCTCAACTAGGTGGTCTCCCTCTCTTTTCTGCTCTATCCCCTCCCCAGGTGCAAGGAACTAGGGCCAAGGACCTCAGGCTAAGGAGAAAAGGATGTGAGTGTGGGATGGGGGAGGACAGACTCCCGTGTGTACACGGGCACTGTGTCTGCATGAGCTGCCAACCTGCCTCTGTCACATCATTAAACCTGCTGCCAAAAGGCCATGACAGTAGCAGTGAAAACTAAACATGATCTCTGGAGTTTTCTTTACTTCAGTCTTTTTCCACCCCCTAGTTCTGTCAAATCTCCCTCTTCCCACCCTTTCTGCCTGCCCATTGAGCATGTATCCCAATGGCCTTGCCTGAATCTACCACAGCCTGACAAACAGGGGTTTATGCAAAAGGCAGCCCACCAGGCCTGGAGAGATCAGCACTCCCAGCCCATTTCACTTTCAACCCTTTGCCCTGCACTCTCTCTCCCTGGAGTTGGAGGAGAGATCCTCTGCCTTCCAAGGGATCCCTACGCAGAAATTCCAGCCCAGGACACCCAGCTCCTTCCCTTCTTTCTCATTCTTGTGGGGATCTCCCTACCATTCCTGTGTCACAGATCCCTAGTGCCCTTGAGGGGAAGCAAGAAGGGAACTCCTAGAAAATGACTAACAAAAGCAAGAATCTGCAGTTGTCAAAGGAGAGAGACCCAGAACACAGCAGGACTAGGCTTGGAGGAACAAGGGAGGAGGGCACTGCACTCTGCAGTGAGAAGCGGAGGGAAGAAGGAGCAGCAGAAACTGCCTAGCTCATTAATTCCCACTACCCTTCCGCAGTTTCCCCCTGTTCCCTGCGTGGTGCAGCCCCAGGGGGAAGTTGTCTCCGGAGAGAGGTCACCGTCTTACGGAGACCCCAGATGCAGAGGCGGTGTGGGAGGAGGAGATGCTGACTGCCTCTGAGTGTGCTTCATATAGAGGTCAAAGCAGAGCCAATAAAAGTAGAGATGTTGAGAGCTCAAGGGACAGGGCAGCAGCCTCAGCCTCATTGGAAGGGGAGGAGAAGAGAGAAGGGACTGAGAAGTGAGAGTCACCCGGCCCTGGGGAGCCCTCTCTCCCTCTGCAACAGCATCTGCACAACATCTTTAATTCCCCTCCACCCTCAAGAGCCCCCACCCATTCCTCACTAAACAATACGCAAGCATCATGAGCTTCCTAACCGGTTCCTGCTGCTGTTGTCCTTGCTCTGAGGAGACTCCATTCATTAGAGGATTCCCAGCTCAAACTGTCCCTGACAGGTGGGAAGAGCCGGCACCATTGAGGAGGCAGCCAGACTTTAGGGCAGGCGAGCTCTTTAGTGGGGCAGAGGTGGGAATATGGCGATGGGGCCGGAGGTGAATGTGAGAACCCTGCAGTTTGGAGAGTGAGGCTAGAGAATCTGACCATCTTGAGAGATGGATATCCCTGAGCCTCCAACCCTGGCCCCCACCACGCACACACAACTCTCTCAGCATCCTAGCAACCTCCCCCTAAAAGGTTTCCCGGGCGCAGCCCTTTCCCTCCTCTCCAAAATCTTCCACCAGCAGTTTATCAGGTTAGGACTTGGGGGTCAGGTGCTAGAGGATCTCACCCAGGTTACCCACTCTGCAATGCAGAAAAGGGCAGAAGTAGCATTGCCATGCAGAGAAATCTTCTCTGGAAGCCCCTTGAGGCAGTGGGGAACAGATGGCATGTGTCTGGAGCGGGAGACGCTGCTGCCTGAGAAGCCAAGTCTCCAGAGCAGCGCCGCCCAATAGAAATAGAATGCGCGTCACATATGTAACTTCAAATTCTCTAGTATCACATTAAAAAAGCAAAAAGAAACAGATACGATTAATTTCAATACTATATTTTATTTAACCCAATGTACCCAAATTATTATCATTTCAACATGTTATCAATATAAAAATTAGTAGTAAAATATTTTACGTTATTTCCTCATAATAGGTCTTTGAAATCCAGCGTATATTTTACACTTACAGCACATTCCAATTTGATCACTAAATCTTCACCAGAAATATCTGATCTGTACTTGGGTTTCATAACATTCGCTGTTGAAAAAGCCAATCACACATCCAAGTTGTTCCAAACATATTAAAAGTTTTCCAATAACTAAATCAAGTATCGGTTTTAACATTTAATCAAAATTAAACAAATTTAAAATTCCATTCCTTAGTCATACTAGCTATCTTTCAAGTGCTCAATAGCCACATGTGGCCATTGGCTACTGTATTGGACAGCACAGCTCCCTACACTACAACTCTGGGCATAGACTAGGGCTTCCTTGGCAGAGGTGGGCAAAGTGTCCCTCAAGAAGCACATTCAACTCAGAGGAAATGCCTGTAGAGTTAGCCCCCACTACCACGCCTTATTCTCCTTACACAGCTTTTCCAGAATATCTCCAAGGAGTGAAGCTCATTCATGTAACAAGGCTACTGGGATGAGCACTTCCACAGTTTGTCCAATCATCAGCAAGCTAGCCCCTTATCTCCCGTATCTGGGAAGGCTACCCTTAGCTCAGGTGCTATTGTACAAGCTGGTGCGTGTGCGTGTGTCGACGAGTGTGTGAATGCAACCAGGGACACATGTGGGTGGTGTGTGTGCATGTGCTGGGATGTTATGGTCCACATCATGGGGGCAATCCAATGGAGGCTCTCCCCAGGGTGGGGCAGTAGTAGAGAGACAAGAAAAATTTACTGAGGGCCTATTCTATGTCAGTGGCTATATATATGTTTTCTTATTTAATCCTCACACGAACCCCATAGATAGGGCATCTTAGCTGATGGAACTAAAGGTCAAACAGATTAAGTAACTTGCTCAAGTACACAGAGCTAGTTAGTAAGGGAGCTGCTTTTGAACTCAGGGCTGACTCAAAACCGAAATGCTTTCCACCATACTGCCACACTGCTCCAGCCACTGTCTAGAGCACCTGATAACCTGCTCTCAGGGCCTCTTAGCTGCAGGACCTGACCTGTGAGAAGGGTAAAATCCAGGGTCGTCTTATACCCCACCCACTCTGAACAACTCTTTTAGGGGGACTGGGGTCAGTTGTTAATGCTTACCTTCCTTCAGAAGCTCTAATGCACCTGATTCAGGATGCTGAGTGTTGGTTTTTACTCTTTCTCTCAGTTCCCTCTCCCAACATCCTTGCTGCCTCTGCCCCCAGGGACCAGCAGAAATTCCAGGAATCAGATGGACTGAAACGAAATGCCTGGCTGCCAGCAACAAAGCCTCTAGTGATTAAAAATGGAGGCTTCAGATTTCCTAGGCCCTTGTCTGGGTTCTAACCTCAACAACCTCTTAGGGCACAGAGAGGCTGCTCAGGAATTTCTAGTATGGTGGAACAATCTGAGCTGTTTCAGATTCAAGGAGAATTTGACTCTTCCCACCTTCTGCCTACCCTGCTTGACAGAACCTTCCTGAGGTCACTCCATCCCACCCCCTCCTCCCTCCACCCCTCCTCTCTTCCATTTCAGACATGGTCTCACCTAAGCTGAGAGAAGTTTGGACCCAAAGATACTCTGGCAGCATTTCAGCACTCCCCGTTTTGGTCCCTGATATATTCTAATTTCTCCATTTCCTTTGCTGTGCTGGATTCAATTCAAGGGATGAGAACCCTGCAAGGCAATGATCCTTAAGTTTTTGGGTCACAGACTCCTCTGAGAATACCTGGTGCAAGCTGTGAACAAAAATGTTTGTATTTTGTCATCCTGAAGCCATCACAGACTCCATGGAATGCAGGTAAAGAACCTCTGCTGTGAGAAGCCTCAGGTGGCAGGAAAAAAGGCTGAGGGCTTAGGCTGCCTGTGCTCCTCAGGGTACATCAGAGGCAAGGAGAAAAGGCTGCGAAGGACTGTGGTGCGAAGTAGATGTTAGCACAGGTAAGAGCAGGTGGTAGGATAGACCTGGTAAGAAAATACACTATTGCCTCCAGCTTCTCCCCTCTTCTGTCCCCCGTCTCCCACCAGTATCCATCTCTCAGAGACAGGCAGGAGACTCTGGATGCGACTTTTGCTCTAATAAGTGCGTGTGGTTGTCATTCAGGCTGGAGAGCATCTGAGAGCAGGGACTCCTGAGTCCTCTTCCTTCAAACTGCTTTGTAAAAAGAATTAAGTAGGAAGACTTAGAGCTGCATAGCAGCAGCAAGAGACGCTGAGGAGGCTGTCTCTCTCCTAGGACACCTGCTACAGTTCATCAATCTGATCTAAAGACTGAAGAGCAGCACCAGCATAATTTCTGATACTAAGGCCCATGCTCCCAGTTGCTGGTTTCTGGTGAAGAGCCTTGAGTGATGGGGGAGGAAGGGGTGACTCCTACAACGGGCAAAGGGAGTGTGCTGTTTTCCAAAAACTCAAATAGCTGAATACCATTTGAATGGATTGTTTGCATGTTGTCCAGGAAGGCAACTCTGTGAGCAGCCAAGGCTCTGGAAGCAGGCCACTTACTGTGTTTGAGAACCCCTCAGTGCCCAGTCCTCAGCTAAAGTCTACTTTCCCACTTTGGCTTTCTGAGTGCAAACACCTGCCAATTGAATACACCTGCCATTGAACCCAAACCTTAACTAGTTTCACCTACTGCCTCCTGTACCCTGTTCAGAACACCCTTCAAGGAAAGAGCATGAACTCTTCACAACTGGAGATAAGAATAAAGAAATTACAATTCACCCAATCCTAGCCTCTCACAACTACTGGTTTCAATCCTGATTTGGGCTCTTAGAGGTGAAATGACAAATCCCAAATACACAGTGACTTGAGAGTGAGTTTGGAATCTTCTCACCTAAAGTTATCCCTTCCACTCCCCAACCTCCCTATCCAGCCAATTAGAAGTCAATCCTCCCTTGAAAATTTTCTTTCAAAATTTTGAAAAGTAACTACACCTGGCATTTCACTGCTCTGATTAGGAAATTCCTCCTGTGGTTTAATTTTTAATTTTTAATCCCTCTTTTTGGACTTATACTTCATTTCCTCTTTTTTGCCCACCCCCTCCCATTGGAGCTGGAGGATAATGGGCCCAAAAAGTAGGCCTGTGCTTTTTATAGCAACAATGGATATTCTTCCTTGGGTCTGAACTATTACCTTTTAAAAGTGAAAAGAGCTATATCAATCAAGGCACTCAAATACCTAGGAATAATATTAACAAGAAATATGTAAATTCCATATGATGAAAACTTTAAAATGCTACTGATGGTACATTAATGACAAACATGTATATAGGAAGATTCTATATCATAAATACAATTCTCCCTCAGATAATCTAAAAATATGTGATTTCAACCAAAATGACATTAACACTACAATCAAAAAGTAAATTGTGGTATATTCCCATAGTATACTACCACACAGTAATGAGAATGAATGGACTAAAACTACACACAAGATGGCTGAATCTCACAAAAATAATGTTGAACAAAAGAAGCCAGACACAAAAGAATGCAGACTGTGTGATTATCTTTATGTAAAAAGTAAAAACAGGCAAAACTAGTTTCTGCTATTAGGAGTCACAAGAGTGGTTACCCTTGAGAGGAGTATTGACTGAGAAGGGACACGAGCAGTTCAGGCGCGCTGATAATGTTCTGTTTCTTGATCTGGGTGTTGGTTACACAAATGTGTTCCATTTTTGAAAATTCATCAAGATGCATACTTTTCATTTGTGCATTTTTCTAGATGTGGTACATCAATTTTTAAAATTGTGGTAAAAAACAACGTACATCAACTTTTAAAAAACAATATAGTACTAGAATATGAATAGAAATCAGTGGAACATGAAAAATCCAGACATAGATGCAAACACATATGGCAATTTGGGTCTTATAAAGGTAGCACTCAAAAACAATGGAGAAAATATGGATTATTCAATAAGTAGGGTTGGATAAAACAAACAAAATTAAGGTGG